GAGAGAGAGAGAGAGAGAGAGAGAGAGAGAGAGAGAAAGATAGCGACACCCCATACCAGCTGTAGCAGGGGAGAAAACTATGGACTGTGCTGCTAGTGGTGTCGCTCGGTGGTGGTTTGTTCAGCCGTTGGGCCGGACAACGGGGGTTGGGCTCAACGGTAGACGGCGATGGTGTAGCAGTATTTTTCGGTTGGTTTTCCAGGAAGACCCGCTGACAAGTCGTTGGCCGGGGTTGGCGGCGTCAAGCAGTCTTGCACGGCCTCCTGTCGGCTTATGGCGCTTCGTTTTCAGTCAGCGCGTCAGCGCGTGCTACCGCCCTAAGCTACAAGCTACAGTCGTGTTTTGACGGGGATGACATGGGTTTTGCAGGCGGTGCGTTTCGAGCGGCCCCTAAGTGTTGACGGCTGAAAAGCTCCACTTGTTGTTTCGACCCTCGCCGGTGCAGTCGCTGCTTGGGATCGACCGCTCTTTCGTCTATTCCTCTTGTATTGCTCTTTTGATTCTCTTCTGATTCCAGGCCATCCAAGGTGGCCTAACGGCAATGGTGCAGCTTCAAGACGCCCTCTGGCGGGATCTTCCCGCCTTGAAGGACCCCGTCCTGCACACGTTGGACCGGATCAACGTGGACAGACATCTGCTCGACCAGGAGGTGCGCCAGCAAATGCGCGTGGGGGCGGCGAGACTTCTTGCCGGCAGGTGGGTTGTTCTTGCCGTCTTGCTTTCGAGGGCAGGCGCTTCTTCCTCAAGACAAGGAGGTTGGAGCCCGCCCTGGAACCCAGGTGCTACGCATACGGCGGTTCCTCGACATGATGCATGGCCATGCCGTGCTCCTGTGTCATGCCGCGCCGTGCGTACACGTGCCATTTATTTCTGTGCCGTGCGGTGCCGTATCACTCCATACTGTACCGTACCAGTCATGCGACTCCTTGCCATACCGCACCGCGTCGTACTTTACCATACCGTTCCACGCCCTGACGTGACGGGGTGTGACGTGCCTTGCCTTGCCGTGCGGTGCCGTTCCGTTCCGTATTGCACCATGCCATACGAAACCTTACGGCACCATACCGTACCCTACCCTACCGTGCCGTGATATGACGTGCCGTGCCGTCCCAACTTACGTTCCTCGCAACTCCTTTGCACTACGCTCACGTGGAACTCTCATTTGACATGTCACCGGGTACTCAAACCCGTGCAGGCAAGAGAACGGCGCCAGCGCCGGCGCCGGTGGCGGGGGCCCCAACGAAGGAGCCAGCGGGGGCGCTCCGGCCGGGGCGACGGCGGCGGATGCGGCGGCGACCGCGAGCGGCGGCGGCGGTTCGGTGGAACGGTCGGAGACAATTCCTCCTGACTTCTTGGCGGGCCTCGAGTCCCCCTTGGCCAGCTCCCTCATCGTGAGAAATTGTTTGCGTGTTACATGCGTAGGGAGATTGTTGGAGGGCGGAGAACAAAACAAAAAATATAGGTATGAGCTTGTTCTTCCGGTATATGCCAGCTGCTGCCGCAAAAGCTTAAAGCTCTCCGGGGTGGGATTCCATGATCAGCGCTGTCCATGCCCGGGTATTTGCCACTGGAGGTATTGGTGCATCACAGGAACTTGGACGTTGCCCGGTTACACATTAAACTTGACTCTAGCAACCTGTCCCAAGCACACACAGAACGAAGGCACGATGAATTTGGTACGTTTTCGTCTAGTTTCATGAGGTTGGAGGAGGCAGAGATGGGGGAATGGCCTAGCAGAGATGCGAGGTATCGGGGCTGTTTTTTTGGCAGTGAAAGTCGGGGTCCTCAGTGCTGGTCAAGCCACGCTTTTTAACGTGAACGAATATTGCCGGGTAGCCCGTCGAATACATTCTATTTTCGTGTACCGTTTCGGGTAAGTTTACCTGTGACCACTGGAACCGACCGCGTCAAGTGTTTGACTAGTAAGGACAGAAGGTAGTGGGTGGAGAGACCGGAACGGTTTTAAATGTGAAGACAATATCAACAACAACAACAACAACAATCGAAGGGCATGCCTCCGTTGCACGCCACGCACTCCCACTGAAGCATGACCTCGTTCTTTGGGCATTTGTCGGAATCGCTCGTGCCATCGGCGGCATCAAAAGCAACCGAGGGTTAAACACAGGTTGCACCCGCTCGTGAACACTTACCTTACCTCTCTCGTCTCATGAAAACCTACCTTTCCTCTCTCGCCGACAGGCACGATCGACCATGCTGGAAAGGAGGGAGAAGGCCATGATCGCCTCTCGCTGGATCCTGGTCTTGGCGATCCTCACGCACGACTCTTATCTGCTGCTCTTCGACGTGCCTAGAGGCACAGCTGTCCACAAGAAGCAGCTCAACGCGCGTACCTCTGAGGCATGGAGTATTTAGGATGCGGGCAGAGTGTGGCATGTTGAGATCGGTGTTAACAATCGGGCGGGCACAAGGCGGAGGGGAGGTGGGGTATTGTTTGGAAGGCGGAAAGCGGGCGGGGGGGGGGGATTACCTTCAATGCGGCAGATGAGTGAGGCTTAGGTGTGGCGTTGACGTTGTTCGGCGAATAANGGGGGGGGGGGGGGGGATTACCTTCAATGCGGCAGATGAGTGAGGCTTAGGTGTGGCGTTGACGTTGTTCGGCGAATAAATCGCCCGGGTAGGTCTTTTCTTTTGTAGGGACTGGTATTTTCCTCCCCTCATGTGATCATGCATGCTGCAGCACAGGTTTTGTGACCACTGTGCGGTCCCCCTGTTCCGCCCCTCCGCTACGCAATGCAGGCGTTCGCCGAGCTGGTGCCCAAGCCTGAGGTAGGCGCGATGGCGGTCGAGCTTGGGAAGCACAAGGACGGGAAGGGGATTGACTCCGGCGGGCTTCCCGTGCCGCCTTCGGTGGCCATCGACCTCAGCGCGTGCCAGGTATGGGTGGGAGGGGGGCGGAGGGGGGGTCAGCTTTCACACCGCCGTCGCCGCAAGGATAACACCCAACGAACCGATGCCGTTGCGGCGGAGTCTGTCTAGATTATTTCCTGGCATGCCGAGGCCTTTGGGGGAGGGACGTGCGTAAGTTTCGTTGGCTTTTGGGGTGTTGCAAAGCAGGTATTTTGTGTGCCACGCGAGTCCGAACACAACGTGCGGAAGGAGTAGATTTTGTAGCCGCTCTTTTTGTGTTCGATCTCATCCCCTAGTGTCGCTTTGCCTCGATACCTTTGTCAAGTTCATTCCTTGTTCGGTTGCTGCCGTCTGCACAGCATGTGCTTCGTTGAAGTAAATGGGCAAGACTTATTTCATCCGCCTTCGATTTAATTTACGGTGTCGACGTCACCCGACACGCTACCTAGGCACGTCACGTGGCAAGCAAGACGATCAGGCCCGCGGTTGTCCGTTGTTGCTGTTGGGTGGTCTGTCTTTCCTACCCACCGTGGCGGTTTCCCTCTCTTGTGTGGCTTCATGGCACGCGACTTACGACCCAGCCGGCCAATTCGAAACCCCACCGACATCTCCTTGCCATCGCCAATCACGGTTGCCCTTGTGAAAGACGCCAAGACGGCTGTTTGAAGGGATCGATTGATTTGCGACGAGACGATAAAAAAGCTCCAAAAGCACTTGCTTTCTTTTCCGTTTATCCATGTCCCGTTCCGGTCTACTCGGTGACGGGACGCGGTATGTATTGACGGTCTCTCGACTTCAGGTGAGCTTCAAACCGGACGGCAAGAGCGATGCCACGTTCGAGATCACGGAGATAAAACCGACCAGGGGTGTCAAGACCGTCTTCAAGGTACAGCATGTTTGAATAGGCCGAGGGCGCCGCGAGCGAGGATGTTTTCGTGCATTTTTCGCCCAACGCGTGCGACTATCGCCTTGCCCGTCACCACGCGCTACCTCGATGCTTTGAGACAAGAAATTGTTGCTGGTTCTGGCCCACCAATGTCACCATCTCCACCAACAGCAATAGCGGGCAGCTGCACGATACAGCAGTAGCGTCCAGCTTTATGGAATGTTATTGAAGAGAAAAAATTTCTCGGTTTCCCAGAAAATGTGAAATTGGGGTTTTGAACTACACCTCGGCGGTGGGTCCTTGAGTCAGTTCGTTCTGGTATATGGTGATCTATACTTGCCGGTGGCAGGCCATTGCTGCTGCCTGCGAACCGACGGGTATTGTAGTCAGTCTCATTTTCCTCGGAAAGGTTATTTCCGGGTTGTGCCCCTTGGGTTGTTGCCTGTTTTGCGCCATTTTCGTGCTCACCGAAGGTGGCGATCGGCCATCGTTTGATATCGGTAGAGATGGGGAACGGGTGGAGGGGGAATTTCCTGCTGGAACCGGACGAATCTCGGTGCAATCTTTGCAGAGTTCATCGTGTCTGCCGGGTCCACGCGGCCTGTTGTACGAGGGAAAAAGTCTTCTTGGGCATGCTGCCCGCCCTCGCCCCCTTTACCATGTGCAGCACCATCGTCAACGTTCGTCTGTCTCCGGTTGTTTTGACGTTGCAGGACTTCGAAGAGACCAAGTTCACGCTGAGGGGGCGGTCGCAAGAAGCGATGGTGGATTGGGTGTGCGAGATAAAGGAGATGGGGCGTGCGGGCATGAACGCTGTCTCTGACCACGGGAAGGGGAAGAAGTGACGACAGACGCTTTGACACCACGCCGCCTTTGCAAATGATGGGCAAGCCCTTCAGTGCAATGATTTTTTTTCTGCCGAGCGTGGAACATCATTTGGCTGCACGCGTGACATATCCATGCCGGCCATACCATTGTTTTGTGTTCTCCAGCGGCAGGAGGTTTTTGGGGGGGCAAAGGATGAGTTCATTTCACGCCCGGTGTTTTAGCGAGATTCTTGACAGAGAAAAAGAGAGTTACCAATGAGTTTTCCCGACTGTAAGAGTTCATGCATTTTACACCAGTACGGTACGGTTCAAGATACAAAGCAGATGTAAGAGGGTGTCCCGACTCTCTCGTCAACCGTAGCCTCTACTGTGTTCGTATGTTCTTTGTTTGCTTCACCCTCTCCTGTCCCTTTGAACGATCATTCCCGTGTCCAAAGGAGACTAACGGCGAGCCGTCTCTCCGTAGATTTGGCTGCTCTCCGTTGATTGCTGTGTTGGTACGCTTCAAGAAGTTTTGGCAAGTTGTGAGCGGGCAAGGACTTGCTAGTCAGTGTTGGAATATGGAATGGTGAACTGGTCGGTTGGTGAACCGTCATTGCTCAGCGAACGAGCCATCTGCGTACCCAGCAGTGGTTGCTGATGCTCTCTGCACTCAACAGAATTGGCAAAATTTTGCTCTGTATTGTGGGCGGATATACATTTTGCGCGTCAGGCGCTACGCAGGCATGTCAGGACCAGCGCAATGATCACCGTTTGTCGTGTGTCGGTGTGTTATATTTCCCAAACCAAGACGGATCTGCACCAGAGGTGCTTTCGGCGGCTGTGGTTCTGATCTCAAACCGGAGCAGTGTCTTGAAGAAGGAAATCGTTTTTTTGGACGATCGCTTAATTGATGTGTTTGGTGGCCACTCTGCGGGTGTTCGATATCGGTGGCACCTGGCGAAGGGTGGCATGCGTGTTTGCTTGTTCTCCGTGAGCGATATATCGCTGAAGCCCGTTTTGTGTCCGGCTGGTTTCGGTCTGGTCACATGAGAGGCAATCTGTCTACTCCCGCCCACAACAAAATAGATGGTGAAACTGTGAGCGGCCTCATAGTTCGTCTCTATTTAAGAGAAAACCCCCAAGTACGCCGGATGGGCGCCACCGCACATCCACGGCGCTTCGGATTCAGTGTAGCCTATCCCCAAGGGTATCACCCACACCACAATTCACAGCAATAACTTCTGACATGGCCGGATGTTATGCAGAACAGCTGGGTGTCTGATCGGAACAACCACCCTTATTGCACCCGTGCCCACTGTCCTTGGGCAAGGTTGTCTGCTTCGACAATGGCAGGGGGGGTAAACTCAAGAGACGGACCGATTATTAGGGCCCACTCTGATCAATCGGAAGCTTTCAACAAATCATGAAGCAGCAGCCGGATAGGTCTTCTTCAGTTTCTAGGAATAAAAAACTAGTGGTATCCAGCCAGCAAATGGGATCACTATTATCCGTCGACTTTTGCAGAGCATCGATGCCGTCAAACACAGTGCCGTCGGGCCATACCTCAAACCTCTTGATGGACTGGAGCCCTCCGAGGTGTGCTGCTTCATCTCCATCTATGAAGACTCAGGGTTGGCTAGTGTATCTTACGGTATTTTGGATAATGGTGCGTGCCCATGGAATTTTGGCGTTGTCAGACTGACTGTAGGACGCATGGTGGAGGTCAGGGACTGCTGCTATCTAGTCTATACCTACCGCACGCATCTATCTTGTGTCCATCGGATGCACTGCTGTGGGATCCAGCTAGGCTTGTGCATGATTGACATCTTCATCCGCGCTGCATGGTGTGCATGCGATGCGGCAAGAGTAAGAGAGAAATACAAGAGTGCGTGCGTAGATGATGCT